CCCCTCGATTTCCCCCCCTTCATTCTTCCCCTCCTGCTATCTTCTTCTTTTTTTTTTTTTAACATATAATGTATTATTTGTTTAAAACTATTTCTTTTTAATCAGAGAGAGCACAAGCACGGGGAGCAGCAGGCTCCCTGCTAAGCAAGGAGCCTGCTGCGGGACTCAATCCCAGGGTCCTGGGATGGTGACCCGACCTGAAGGCAGACGCTTGAAGGACTGAGCCACCCAGGCGTCCCTGAGCAAAACTATTTAAAAGTCAAATAGGGCATTTTCCCTGCCCCATATCTCTTTTGGGCAGTTTCTTTTCCATTAAGCACCGTATCATTGAAAAGCAGGAAGTAATAAGAGAAACTTGCATTGAAGAGCCTATGGCTTATCTTAGATTCCTATACCAGCTTAAACTTCGAAATATTCACAAAAATTGACCGGTTGTGGGAGTCGTTGGAGGAAAGATCGGTAATGCCATGCAGTTAATCTGCTGTTTACATTTGACTCTAAGCCTGGGGTCCCAAACCCTTGAAACTAGAAATTCTGTACTCTTGGTCTTGTGTCACACTACCTGTGAGAGCGGTGTAAGTGCATGTTGGTTTACATGGAAATTGTGTTTGACGTTACATACCAACTTGCGCCACGTGTGGCTCCTCTCCGTTCTAGGGAAGATGACCTTACTGCTCTGGTCTGTCACAGCTAGGGATAGGTGAATTTAGATACAGAAACCACCAGTAAAAGTGCAGGAAAGAAGCTGCATTTGGGCCCTTAATAATGCCTATGTCTCTTCCTTTTCGTTGCAGAGCAAAGAGTAGAAGATGTCCGACTTATCCGAGAGCAGCATCCTACCAAAATCCCAGTAGGTAGTCTCCGGCACCTGTGTTTCAGTCGTTAACAGTGTGCGCAGAAGAGAGCATTGCTTAAGTACTTTAGTACGTGTGTGTGTGTGTGTGTGTGTGTGTGTGTGTGTGTGTGTGTGACTATGTGACAGGTTTCTACAGAGCTCCTCAGACGAGTAACCCCAGTGTCAACTTCATGACCTAGAATTTGAGGTATCTTAATATACAGTTCTTTGATCTAAGCACATTCTGTTTCCTCCTGAGTCTGAGTTTGCTGCCTTAATGTTACACACTTCACAAGTCAAATGTGTTTACTTGGGGGGAAAGGGACAGAGGGGCTAGAACTGTTTGTATTTTACAGTGGAAGGAAGTGTCCGCTCTCTGCTAAAGGAAGGAATACTGCAGTAGGAAAATCAGCTCTCAGGATTGAAATGTGACTGTACATTCCAGGCTTTTTTTTGATGCCCCAGAGAAGTCTGTTGTATTTGGCTGCTCTGCAGGAGATGGAGGAAAGACATTGCTCTTTCTTGTCACGTGTAGGTGCCTCAGATGCTTTTTGCCGTGCCCAGGTAGCAATACCCTGTACCCCAAATCCTTTGCTGGCAGACTCTAAAAAGGTTTCTGTTGAGGCACCAGGTCTAGGGAGAAGTGGTTAAGAGGAACTTCTGGTTTCAGATAGAGGCTGAGTTCAGGCCTTAGGTTCAAGGTTACTGAGTGATGTTGAGCTAGTTACTAAAATTCTGAAAGGGGCTGCCACATCCTTATCTGTAAAATGGGAAGAGAATCCCATCCCATGTAGTAGTTGGAAAGATTTGCCTAGTTCTGTATACATGGTTGTTATCTCCTACAAATGCTACAGACCAGACACTCCACTGTTAAAAATTCTGTACAAGCTTTCATGTTTGGCTTTCTGATGTGTCCCCTCAGACTAAACTGAGGGGAAAGAGAAAAGGTCCAGGGGGTTGGGGCTGTAAGGTACACAGAAAAGATAAGATGGGTCTGCCCAGCAGTTTGCCAACTATAGGATTCGACGGTAAAAGACACAGTCTCTGTTTTCCTTGGACTGCCTAGAAGTTTCAGTCTGTCCTTATATTTGGGGTCAACATATGGCCCGGGGATTTCCTTAATTTTAAGGTTTTCTTCACTTTTTGGGGCTAGCTATTGGAAACGAATAGCCCAGCAGTCTGCCAGGATTTGTTCTGCAGCCTCCTTTTGAAAACATGAGTATCTGCGTACATTAGCAGTCCTCTTTTCTGCTAGCAGTTCCAGGGTTTTTGCAGAAATCACATACTCATACTTCCACATAAGTGCTTGTGGCTCCTAAACAAGTTTACAAGCGCTCCTTATTGGGGATAGCATGGATGGACAGGCAGCTTGCTGGCTCTCCAGTCCCCGTTCTCCACTCCCCAAGGACGGCTTTTTCTTCCTTCGCTCCTGTCTATAATACTGCTGTCTAGATGCAGCACTCGAGAAGGCACTTTTCAGGTCTAGCCAAATGACTTACTCATGACTTAACGTGTCTTCTCTCCCAAATTAAAAAAGTACAGGAAAAAGAAAAAAATAACTGAAAAGTCAACCAGTCATTTATAGGGGATTGTTTTCATGAAGATCAACAGCACTGGAGAGTCAGGGACACCTGAGAGGAGGAGGGAGTTCCCAAGGCCATGCTGTCCTGTGTCCCCAGGATGCTGTTGTGTCTTCCTTTAATGAAGCGGGTCTAAGGTCGGGAGATCTTCTTCTCATTCTGACTGCTTCTGCCTCTTCCTGAAGCAGGAATTTAAGATTTTTTTTTTTTTTTTAAAGATTTTATTTATTCATTTGAAAGGGAGAGACACAGCACAAGCAGGGGGAGAGGCAGAGGGAGAAGCAGGCTCCCCGCTGAGCTGGGAGCCCGTTGTGGGACTCGATCCCAGGACCTGGAGATCAAGAACTGAGCCAAAGGCAGATGCTTAACCATCTGAGCCACCCAGGCGCCCCAAAGTTAAGATTTCTGTATTGCCGGGCGCCTGGGTGGCTCAGTCGTCAAGCGTCCTCCTTGGGCTCAGGTCATGATCCCAGGGTCCTGGGATTGAGTCCCACGACGGGCTCTCTGCTCGGCAGGAAGCCTGCTTCTCCCTCTCCCACTCCCCCTGCTTGTGTTCCCTCTGTCGCTATCTCTGTCAAATAAATAAAATCTTTGGGAAAAAAAAAAAGATTTCTGTATTGCCTCTGATCTTTCAAACCCAGGCAAAAGTAGTCTTATCTACTGATTCTCCCTTGTGGCTACCGTGTTCTGAACACACCCGATGGATCAAAGTCCTTGATCTTAACAAGGAAGGGAATAGCAGTTTGATTTGGCCTTATACAGAACCCCTGTGGGTCCCATATATAGTGGAACAATGTACAGACAAGTATCTTCCCCTTTTCTAACATTATGCAAAGAATTCCATTCCTGTCTCTCAACTTCTCGTCGTCGTGGCAGGGTGGAGAGTTGCTTTACCTGGAGAAGAGTGTCTGTGGTACTCAGAAGATGATGAGGCACAGGCGGTCAGCACTCTGGCCGGCTTTTGTGGTGGCTTCGAACTAGGGGAGAAATTGTCCTCTGTGGAAAGGAAGTATGGCAAGGAGCTAATGAATTTATTTCGGTTCATGATGTGGAACTATTTTTGTTCCCTGCATAGTGCAAGATTCTTGACTCTTAAAACTCATTAAAGAAATATAAGGAGTATTTTGTCAAAATGAAAGAATCTTCAAGTCTTTCTGTGCAAAATTTGTCTCCAGAGCCAGCTGATCATTGTCTCTACTTATCAGATATTTACTTAGGACTTTTTCCACATCAAGTAGAGAAACCAGTCTAGTATGAAAAAGACATTTGAGTGTATTACCGTAATAAAGGTCTCACACATTTCAGAGGAAATAGTGGTATTGCAATTGACATAGATTCAGAGCTTACACTCCAAGCTGGTACCTAGCATCTGCTCTTTTCTGACTAGTTAGTATATTTTCATGGTTCCAAATAACAAAAAATATATAGCAAACTTCTTTCACCACCCTGCTCACCTCCCTGGAGGCAGCCAATTTGTCTTGTGTACTATATTCTGTAAGGGATAGAGTCTAAGCTAATAAATGATCACTATTTGCAGGAGATCTATGGGGAAACTAACAAATGTGCTGTTTCTATTTCAAACCCCGTTTTGGTATGTGCCAGTTACAACATAGAAAGTATTTCATCTCTTCATTGTTAATGGTTATTTTAAAATCTCTCGTCTGGCTGCTCTTCTAGGTGATAATAGAACGGTACAAGGGTGAGAAGCAACTTCCTGTCCTGGACAAAACCAAATTCCTTGTACCTGATCATGTCAACATGAGTGAGCTCATCAAGATCATTAGGTATTTAATCACCCTTTTTTTTTTCTATTTCTTTGGGTAACTGCTCATTCTGTATCAGACTTACAGATAAATCTTTAGTTAACATCTGTGCAAGCTTAATAAAACCTAAAGATGTTTCCTTCCTTCCTGAGTTCTTTTTCTTATCTGCTGGGTTTCCTGTCTCTTAGATTCTTTCATCATAACATCTAGTGTAGACGTTGTCTCTCTCTTAACGATTTTATTTATTTATTTGACAGAGAGAGAGAGCGCGCACAAGTAGGCAGAGTGGCAGGCAAAGAGAGGGAGAAGCAGGCTCCCTGCTGAGCAGAGAGCCTGATGCGGGGCTCGATCCCGGGACCCTGGGATCATGAGCCGAGCCGAAGGCAGATGCTTAACTGACTGGGCCACCCAGGCTCCCCCAGATGTCTCTTAATCAGAAAAGTTTACAAGTTTTGTATGGCAAAATTAGTAAAAGATAATGTAGACTTGGTAAAATGGTAATAAATAGTTTGTAAATTATAGTTTGAACTATTTCATTAGACACTAATGGCTATTCAGAGAGCATACTAATTTAAAACTGGCCTGGGGAATACAGTAGTAATAACCTACTAAGAATTACCACTAATATCAGTCATGAATGTAATCCTAGGACATGTCCTATGCTTTATGAGAAGTTTTAGGAGAGTCCTCATCTGTAGGCACACACATTATTTTGCCAGAAGCAGCATTCACAAAAGCTTTATACTTTTCTATCAGTGGGGGTAGGTGATATTTTTCCATGTCCCCTGCATATTGATGTGTTGGTGTCTCTTTCAATAGGAGACGCTTACAGCTCAACGCTAATCAAGCCTTCTTCCTGCTAGTGAATGGACACAGCATGGTGAGTGTGTCCACGCCGATTTCTGAAGTGTATGAAAGTGAGAAGGACGAAGATGGATTCCTGTATATGGTGTACGCTTCTCAGGAGACATTTGGAATGAAACTGTCTGTGTAAGACTAGAAAAATGCATCTGTTCTTGAATTTTTTTAAAACCTTACCAAGGAGAAAAAAAGGGATATTAACCAACTGAGATTGATGAGTTCATCCAATCACAGATCATCAAAACAGTAGTGTTCCTGCCTAGGAGTTTTAGGAAGTTGTTTTGTACTGTAAGCAGAAAAACTGAGCTCCAAATGAGCACATTCAGCTTTGGAAAACTACATGATTTAACCTAGGCTGTTTTGTTTTCAAATTTAGAAGTTTAAAAATAAAATACTTTGTATTCTAAGTTGCTAGTAGCATAGACCTTCACATTATTTTAATGCTCCTTCCCTATTAGGAACCTGCAATTTAAGCATTCAGAGACATTCTTTACGAGGTTCACTGAACTAGCCAACTTTTTGTAGAAGGTTTTCTACTCAACTGGGGAAATACCTGTAAGAGGATCTTTAAGTATAAGTTGTCAAGCATAGTCGTCTCCCCCCGCTCCGCCCCCCATTTGCTATAATCGTTGGCAAAAAGCTGGGAAAATGGGGGTAGGAAAACTCTGAACTGCTGCCCAAGGTTCCTGCTCCTCGTGTACATGTACTGTGAGTCCGTGCTCTCACAGCGCTGGCGAGTTCTTGTTTGCTTCTCTAGACAGTAACAGAAAAGCACCACTGCTCAGTAAGAACCTTGAATAATTTAAAATTTTGGTCTAGTTTCTCAAAGGGCCCAGAGAAAGAACGTGTGACATTTCTCCTGGTTTGTATGTTCTCTAAGAAGTCAAACTGCTGTCCGCTTTGGTAAAGAAACAAGCTGTTCTATCCGTTTCATTCCTTAACTACAGTGCTAGAAACTACAGGACACGGAAACTAAAGCATTAAAATTCAGATGCACTCCCTCTGCCTTTTGGCCTAAAGCTGTAGATGATCCATGTTTTATGTTAAGTGTGTGACTCTTATTAAAAAGTTACATTTTTAAGAGTATTTCAGTTGTCATTGTAGGTCAGCCAACCATCAAAGTTCCTCCACTCCCGAGTGCATGTCAGTTGTGAAGAAAACAGTAGCAAAAGGAGACCTAATGCTCTTCACAGATACTCATGTCAGAAGTTAAACATTTTCCGAGTTCAACTAGAATAACCAACGCTTCCTGCTACCTGCATGGGGTTCACTATTTACTGTTTTTGTGGGAGTAGCACAGAAGGATCACAGACCCCTTCGGACTGTACTGCAGCAGGTCACGATTTCCCTTTGTGTATTTAGATGTGTGTGGTGTACCTGTACCTGTTAGTGGAAGTTACTTATTAACGGAGGGGGGGATGCCGTAGTACTGCATACGGGCGCTTGACCCCTGACCTTCCGACTACTCTTCCCGCTGCATGCATCTGTCCACATGGCTAACTTTTAATGTGTGTTTATACATAATGTAAATTCTTAATTGGCCTGTCTTGTTTAGATTGTATACATCATTATATCTGACATTCTTGTAACTACTGTGTGATCAGTAAGATTCCTAGAAGAAATTCTGCTTTTTAAAAAAAGTACCATGCAGAGAGGGGTGACTTCTAATCCCACATTAGTGGGTGGTCACTAGGATCTCTAAACCAAGTACATTTTTAATGAACTAAGGTGAATAAAGGCACAACTAAAAACTCATGAAGCTCAGTTTAATGGATCAGTATTTGATACTTGGCAATGCTGTATACTGTCTACCATCCCAAGACCAGGTGGTGGTGGCGGCAGTGGGGGAGGGGGGACAGAGGGGCACCCATCTCTGAAGGTCTCTGCCTCGTCCCAGGCACCTTCCTTACCTTGGGCAAGGTTCTGCCAGCTGGTCTTGTCTTTGCACAAGACAATTCTCCTGGGAACTAAAAGGCATAGCACAAAGAGGATGGATGGATGTGAGGCCTGGGTGTTTGTGGGAATAAACACTTGAAAACCTGCCACTATGAATGAAAGAGTAAAACACAGCAGGTGCCGAGAGTATGTGCTGAGTGGTCGAGGAGGCATTACGTGTTTGTGGTACCTCATGCCGCATCGGGGAAAGATACAGCACAAACATCGGCCAAGTAGCGGCCAGCATTACTCGTTTGAGAAACTGCACCCGTTCCAAATTGGAGCAGGCACTTAAAATGTTTTTGTGGAAGAATCCAGGGAGCGAGATGAGGAAATGTTCAGCTTCCCCGAGTTTGTTGCTCTGGTATTCATGTCCCCCACCTTCAGAAGCCTGGCCTGACCAAACAGCAAGTCAGAGGGGCTGCTGTGGGCCCCAAGTATGGACCAGTTGTGTGTCTCCTGACAGGAGCCCTGATGGCTGGAACTGTGTGTACAGGAACGTTTTCCTCTGGGTAGCCACAGGCCTGACAAGACCAAGAGGGCCTGGGGACCTCTGTTGGGAAAAAGGCGCCAGGTTTCTCCTTCCGTGTCTGGCGCCGCTCATGAGAACACCACAGTCCTGGGCCAGCTTGTGCTCTTTAGACCACCACCATTCCAAATCCAGAAATGCCAGGGCACGTTCATACCATGTCATACCTACGTGTTTAGAGAGACGTTCCAAAGAAACGTGACATCAATTCATGCCAATCTTATTTTTCTTAGGGAACCTAGAGCTGGAACATACCAAACCAAGAGTTAATGTTTCTGGTCATAGCAAGGACATTTTTTTAAAACCCGGGAAACTGGATAGAAAATGGATTTAAAAGCATGTTATCTCTTTTGTCAAGTGGAGAGGGCAGAAAGGGTTGACTCCCTAGTTTGCAGATCAAGAATTGCAATTTATTTGAAAAGATGTGTGCTTTCATATTCTACGAGACAAAGACCTAATAAAATGAAACAGCTTTTTTTAATTTTTATTTTCAGTACATTAAATTTACTCATAAAAACATTCTAAAAATGTACAATTTTTCCTTTTTAACAAAGTATAATAAAACATAAAAACTTCAAAAACAATACTTAACATTTACAATTCAAAATCAAATTAGCAGAATATTAAATATTTACAAAACTATATCTTTTAAAAATATTTATAAAGTTATATGCAATTTTGTAGAATTGACATAAAAGAATGGCTCAAAAAATGGGAGAATTTTCCTTCATTCCTACAAAGAAAATCTGTCCAATATAAGCTGTGAAGATTCTCGGATACACGAGGTCTCTGGTTTCAGTACCAAAGCCTTCACTGTGCATGTAAGAACTTAATGCATGTGAGGGGCTTGTTACAATCCCCGGGACTGACTGACGAGCCACACTGAGCTCCCCTCCCCCCAGAACAGTGTAGTCAAGTTGACCTTTGGCCTCAACCAGCAAGTATGTGGTTTTGCGAGTGCTGATTAAAAGATTTTTTCATTCAGAACCTCAGGACTTTGCAAACTGAACCTCTTCAGAGCCCACGGCTTTCAACGTCACCTGCACTTTGGAAAGGACGTCCGCCCGCTCAGGTTCCACAGGCCCATCCTCCGGGAAGGACACGGTTTCCCTTACCATCCTTAAGACTCAATATATACGCCACCAGTAACCAGGATGTAAGACGAGCAAGGCATCAAATAACCCATCACAGAAGCAGGAAGAGCACAAAATGACAGGGAGTGAGGAGGGTGCAACCTGACTGCGCTGGGCCAGCGCTCTCCCGCGACACTGGAGCGAGCCCAGAGCGGCCGGGCAGACGCAGACGGATCCGATCGGCGGGCGCTCCGCCTGGGACGCGCTGCGGCTGCGGTGTGACGCGGGGCAGAGTCGGGGCCCCTGCTCCGCACCTCCACACGGGGCAGTGCAAACTAGCTACGGTGACTTCTAAGGACGGAGCTAGAACACGGACCCTACCAACTACTATATTCACAAGCCGACTCCCATAATCTGGAGATCATAGATGCTGCTGGTTGGCTTTTTTTTTTTTAAATACCCAATCACACATACCTGCTTTGAAGAAAATAATTCTGTTGTTATTTTAAGTGCTAGCTCCCATTTCCTCAGTGCTCATTAGCAGTTACGAGTTTTAACATTTAAACACTTTTCCAATTTTCAGTATTACCAAGAAAAGAAGGTAGAAAATTGTTTGCTAAAAAAAAAAAAAAAAAGGATTAAATAGTTGTTTTATCCCAACACTGTATTGTACTTCAATCTGTACATTCCACTTCCCCCATTCTTGGGAGACAAAAAATGGGGACAGAAACTTGGACAGACGACAGACTACACAGCAGAGTGGCTGTGCCACACCTACCTGGTTGCTACAGCATTTGCACACTGAGCCCATGGTTTCAGGAAAACGACTACAGAGTTGAAAGGGTCAGTCAGATCTGTGTTTCTATGAAGATGAGGCCATCTGAGGAAGTGCAGAATGCTCTTGAGGCTTACTGACTTTGGTTGCTTTTGGAGAGAAATTCATCAGAGATTACACTGCCAGCAAACACTCCCCAAGTCCAAGTATTCACTTGGGAAGAGTCTCACAGACCGGCAGCTGGATGCTCTGTGTCCCGTGTGCCTCACGTTTCCGTTTTACGATTCTCCCCTTGGAATGGCCTCACTGGAGACGTCACACCGCACACGCACTCTCAGAGACAAGTGGGAATTTTTCTAAGACCTTTGATGACTGGAACACAGCCACACAACGTCTGGACTTATCTACCTCAATCTGAATGTCCTACTTCGAATCGAAGCTCCTATTTTAATTTTCTGTTGTATGGAACACACTAACCTCTAATATTTATCAAAATAGTCATAAGGGTAACAACAGACGCTTTCATTCCCCAATACTGACCACTAAAACAAAAACCCTAAATATGATTTTTTTTCTTTTGTTATGAGACAGTTTTCAACAATTTCACTGTGTTGAAATAGGATTTATTTAAAATATTTCTTTGTTTAAAAAACCAAAAAATTTAAAAGTTTGGCTTTCAGCACATGTCCAGGCCACCATAACGGCCTTCAGAAATATTAAAATCGTAAACATCAGTGGACACTCCCAAGTCTTCCTTTAACATCATATGACAAGTTCCAGGCTCGTACTCTTTAAGGCAAAGTTGTGTCAGTTCTCATTATTTTGACATTTTGTAGTGTTTATAATTAAGAGATCAATGTAACATTCCCCCAAAAAGTTGTTGTAAGCATCACCATCACTTCAAAACCGTATGTAATACCGTGTACCAGGACGAGAGAGAAGCATACAGAGGTCTGTCGATTCTGCATTGCATAGAAATGAAACTCTACTAAAATAAAACTCTAAAAAAACGCTACTAAAAGCCTGTGATAAAAAAAAAAAAGGTAACTCTGCCTTAGTTTCCGCCAGGAAACTGATCATAAAATTTGAAGCCTCACATCACAGTGCCTCAAATTCTAGGGTATTCTTTTTGATTTATACCAATTCGGCATGAGGCTGATTGTCCCATTTTAAGAAAGGTCTGAATATTATGATTTTCTTTTTTTAAATAAATCTTCAACTGCAAAATCCCTGGGCAAGGCCTTACCAATCAATATTTTAATATTGAAGGCTTTAGTGTTAAAATAATAATATCTGAGCAGAAAATTCCCTTTTGGCTTTAAAGGTTTAAGTCCCTAAATTTCAGACCAAGCAGCTTTCATTGTAATGGGGTGAAACAGAGCTGTATGGTGAGGACTTACTTTCCACTTTGGATAAAACTAGATTTCTGCAGATCTTGTAGCTCTGTCCTGTTGGTGTGGGCTCTTCCAGAGTCTTACCACTTTCTACTGGAGTTTTCAGGTAATTTCGAGCAGAACTAACCACTAAATACACAGCCTAATACAAAAGAAGCTGACAGGAGAACGCTTCAAATCTTTTGCTCATAAATTATAGGACTGTATTACTGTTGAAACGTCTGTCTCGAGTGTGAATCCGTTAGCAGTAAGCCTTGGGGTCCTTGGGAGATCCGTGAGAGAGACAAGAACTTGCCAACTTTGCTAAGGATGTGTAGCATCCGTCAGAGCCAGTCACGAAGGCCATGCGGTCACCATGTCTTGGCGAGAGCTCTGTCGCGGTGGAAGATGACAGGACTTCAAGCTACTGAAGGGCCGGGAAGGAAGGGATTCTCAAAGCTTTGACAACTAGGGATTCTCTGGGACTTGGACCCTTAGATATTAAGTTGTTGCGAGTAACTATTTCTATTTAATAACGTAGTTTAAATTTATTCGCAGAAAAAAAAATTAAAAACTTCAAACTGCTACAAGTGTTTTAAGGAGGGAAGGAAATGCTAAAATCTCTGTTGTGTACCAAGTCACGTAGCCTGCTGGTGCCAGCTCCTTAAAAACGGGTTCTCTGAGTGTCTTGCACTGACTGGTCTCAGGGAGTCTGTCTCCCCGAGCGGCAGAGATTGACATCAGTTTACATTCTTCTGGAGTGCAATCCTTAAAAAGCCCAGAGAGATTAGTGTCTAACCACTTGAGGAACAAAACAAAACAAAAAACAAAACAAAACAACAAAGGCGACATTTTCCCTCACCCAGGGGTATCAAGAGTCCGACTGGTGGAACTCCACGCGGAGAACTCCAACCTGCAGTTCTCGATTCCGATCTTGCGTAGCTGCCCGGGAATTACGTGTGAGCCTGGAAGGGCCGATGACGGCAATGCTCCTCGGGAGACGGAGGTCTCTGCATCGCAACCACGGTGGAGGCGCCGACCAGGCGAGTCCTGACGTCAAGCTCCAATCTAGGATTTTGGCAATAAAACTGAGTTTGATGCACTCCTACGCTAGGTTTTCTATCCAGTCTAGTAAAGTAAAGCACCTTTGGATTAAAAATATTAAGCTCAACAGCAACTAGACTTCTCAGTTTTGTATTTAATTTTCCTTATGTCTCCATGGCTTAATAGTGTTCTGCTGCCAGAGAAAAATATCAGTCTGTGGAGTCCAGACTTTCTGCTGGAGGGGCATATTTCAACCTAAAAGTACCTAGAGAGAGGGGGGGGAAAAAGAGATCAAATTTGAATCACTGTGCAATTACTCCCAACAACTGAGCTGTCCAAAGTTCTTTCCAGAGTCACTGGTCAAGAGGCGGGTGCTGGAAATCTGAACTGCCTGTTGTACCCACTCCCAGCTCCTCGCTTCCACCCGCAGAACTAGACATGACAAGTGGGTCAACGCCAAGGGGTGACCCGGCCGGTCAGCAGTCCGGTTCTCTATTCTTCGGGAGCTCGGCCGGGCTGGGGGCCGGGGATGCCTGACCCTCACCCCGGGCCTGGGCCCGCTGCTTCAGGACATAGCCTCGGCGCGAGGACGGCCCACAGCCACCCCCACCTGCCACCAGAGTCGTCTCTAACGCTCTCTGGGTGACCAAGATGCACAGGCGGGTGTAGGAACCCCAGGCCTGGGGCAACCATCAAGCGCCTACACAGAGACCAGGGGGCTGTTCCAGGCCGCGCGGCTCCCAGAGCTAGGAGGGACGCTCCTCCTGCCTAGTTGCATCTCCCTTCCAAGGCCACCCGCAAGAACAAACCTGCGTCACCGCCACAGCAGACGCACACTTGAACTGGACTAGAGACAAAAGAGAGCAAGTGCAAGTAAGGGGGTGGCGCGTGGCGGCACGGCGAGGTGACCCGGCGCACCCCGCGCCACCTGCCCGGCCACCGTGCGGGCGGAGACCGGGCGCAGGCCGGCCGGCGGCAGGTTTCAGCCCCACAGAGCCCTCGGCCCGGCCGCCGGCGCCCTCCGCGAGGAGCAGGCTGCAGTCCCCGCGCAGCTTCGAGACCAAGTGACCCTCTCGGGGGCCTTCACGCCCACCCAGAACTACACGCTCTTCCCAACGGCACTCAGAACGCTCGTTTTTGCTTTAGGAAGCAGCGGTTCGCTACGGTTTCCCCACCGAGGGGAGCTCCGCGCGCCCGTCTCCTGGGCGCGGCCCGCTCTGCGGCCGCCCCCCTTTACCTGGCCGATTGAAGTCCATGGACGGCTGCTTGCAGTCCTGAGCGCGGTGCCCGGTGGCCCCGCAGTTGTAACACGACAGATTGCCGCTCTTCTTGTGGCCGGAGCCGCTGCTGCTGCCCACCAGCCCCGGGGCCTGGTACACGCCCGCCGCGCCCGCCATGAAGCTCTGCATGGGCGGCACGGCGAAGGCCGACTGGCCGCCCAGCACGGGCTCGGGGGCCACGCCGCCGCCGTAGGGCGGGTGCACCACGGGGAAGGCGCCGCCGCCGTACTGCTGGGCGCCCACGTAGCCGCTGCCGCACACGGGGCTGAAGGGCAGGAAGGGGAAGGGGAAGACGGACGGCCCCGAGAACGGGTGCTGGAAGTAGTTGGCGTAGCTGACGGTCAGGCCGCTGGAGCCGCAGCTGCCGCTGCAGCCGCACGACGTGCACACGACGCAGCCGGGCGGCGGGGCGGGCGCGGGCTGCT